AAGAATTTGTCGTAATCTGAGTTTAGAAATAAGTTTACGGGTTATAATACTAGTTTTTAGCAATATACAAGTAATAGTATGGGTAAAACTTCCAAATAATTATTATTATTATAATTATAGCGTAGATCAGTGATATGCCGCATCTATAGGTTCTGTTTTTCTGTTTGAGAACTTTTGGATGCATCGGAAGTTGTCCGAAAGATGACAAACGCCGCAACACGTGATAGCAGACAACGTTACCTTTGACCTGCCCATTTTTTTATTAATATTACTTCCTTCGTCCCGCTATGATTGTCCCATTTTACCTTTTTGGTTTGTCCCACTAAGATTGTCTCATATCAAATTTGGTAAACTTTGTGTGTCTCTAAATCATTTTTACTTTATCAATTCAATATCAACCACATAAACCACTTTTTATTAATTTGTGTGTCACTCCCTTTTGTCTCATTGTTAGGGGGACGGAGGGGGTATTATTTATTATTATAATTATTACATACATGTTTCTATACATTGTAATATATAAATATATAGTCATTATACATATACCAAATGCTTGTAGGTACACACACATATAGGTTTTAGTTCTAATAAGAACATGATCTTATGAGAAAAATGAGAATGAATCTGGACCGTTAGATTTGCTTTATGTGAAATTCAATGTGTATTAGATGAAGCTGTAATGTGTATTAGGTGAAATTGAAATGTGCAGCACAAAGTGTTACACTCCAAAAATTTAAATAAATAATAATAATAATCTTAAACAAATAAAATTTTAATATTTGACAAAAGTGACATTTGGAGAGATCATTAATAAAATAAAATAATACACTTAATAAGACACCTATATAACACACCTAATTATAGATATACATACGCTACCTACCTAATAATAATAGTGTAAAAATTTAACTCATGCGTAAATTGGGTATAGGAATTTTGGGCCGACCAGACTTTTACTCTGTATATGCAATGTATACATATGCACCGGCTCGGCTTCAAACATACATAGTACGAGGGATATGAAACACAGGAAACCCTACAACCTAGAACCTTCGGCATATGCATATAAATAGAGGCGTCGATGAACGACCCTGCACGGAGGAAAGTAGAGCTGCGCCTTAACCATGCGAACAACGACCCTGCACGGAGGAAACTCACCGAAGAAGAAGACCCAGTTGCTCTGTTTTAACAAGAAATTTAACTAATCTAAATATGAAATTGATGAGTTGGGAATCAAGCAAAAAGAGATCAATAATACTTTTATTGATCAAGAAATATAGATTAACTAAGTATAATAGTGTTGATCGAATAGTAATATAATTGAACACTGTGTATGCTTGTATATATGTTCGTATATGAATGTATGAATATATCCCCTTTACATTGCTTTCTAATCTATTTAATGGGATAAGGCTTCCCCTTCCGCAAGACAAGCCACGTGCACCGAGTTTCTTGCTCTTCTCCAACCACTTTGACTTGCACGTTAGCTTCCTTGGTCTTATCCTTCATATTTATTGACTTAAATAATTACAAGTCTGATTCATCCTAAAAGACCTTGGGCTGACTTCCGATTTCAATTAAATCTTTGGCCCAATTGACAAGGTGAACTTTTGGGCCCAACAATTGCCCCCTTTCGAGAAGTTGAGGCGTAGGGGCGCACATGTCAACCCGTTAAGCATCAACTTGTCGAAATCTTGCACGTCATCCTTGAATACAGCTCATATAAACTTGTCCTTTGTCTGATAAGACATGTTGTCAACCTGCCATTTGTATAACAAGACGCCTTTGTCAACTCACCACTTTTCTGACGACATGCTCCCTTCAACCTGTCACTCGTCTGCTACTTCCATTAACTCGTCATATGCTTGTCTAGACGCTTCTATCAACATGTCACTATCTTTGCAAGTAGTTTTTAGATCGAATTTGTCTCCTTGAGTGAGGTGACGAAGAACGAAAACTGGTCTCCTGTCATCTTCCTCCAGATTTGTGCTAATGATCGTATCTAAGCAATGCTGGCGAGTCGTAACTTCGTGCAGGTTGATGTCGACACTTCGGTTGGCAATTATGATTTTGTGCCTCGTTGTATAAATGACGAGTTTGGCTCCGTACCCTGCAAAAAACTTTAAATATTGTTTCGTTTATGGTTTTAGTAATATCGTCGACATGAATACTTGTGATTTATGCCAATGTCGTTTGTATCGTCTCCTTATGTTTTGGAGCTTGTGTTGTCATGCTCTTGGAGCACATGCTTCTGTTGTGTGTTTATGTAGTTTTGTGTTGTGTTGTGTTGTTTTTGTGTAGTTTTGGCCAAAACTCGTAGGGATTCTCGGTCCGTGCCTCATATTTCATATATGAAGGACTCAAGTTTGCCCCACCTTCCCTTGTTGCGGGGTTTGTGTTAGCGGTTGTCGCTATGTGTATCGCATGTCGGTTGTCCTTTGCGCTGTCAAAATCCTGCATACAGACATATCGTCAAAGTCTGGTCGTTGGCTTTTGGCCAACGGCCCTCCGATGCTTAAGTCAGTAATTATTGGAGCAAACAAATAAGATTTTATCAAAGGAAAAGGACTCACCAGGCCGATCATCATGTACCCGAATGATGTTGAAGTTGAAACGTGAGAATCGAACAACTTTAATTTATTTGGACATTATTGAAAACATTAAAAGTGACAGAAAATTGCATGGAAATTGAAAAGACTAATGAAGTTGACAAAGATATTTGTGATGAAAATGCGAACAAAGAGAGTACCTGTGACACTTTACCTACTCGTCTGGTTTGATCAGTTTGCTATTGTCGGTCAGCACCTATTCAAAGACTAATTTGGCCGTTGGTTTAAGGCCAACGGCCCTCCGATGCTCAAGTTAGTAATGGAAGTAAAAGAATGGTATATCGACTGTACTAATTAAATCAGAAATGCAAGGGTTTTAAGTGTACCACATTCTAGCTTCTCGGTACTTGCTTACTGTCGACAGATTGCAGTCGATATGCTCCCTGTCCGACGACTTCAATCATGTCGTCAAATCTACCTCGTCACAGAAGTGACAACTCGTTCTTCTGGTCTCGAATAAGGTCTTCCGTGCTTGTGGTCGTGCCTCCTGGGGGATTCTGATTTCCCGTGCCCCCCTTCCTGCTCAATCTGTCCGTGACGGGCTCGTAAGTCTTCTTCTAGACGAATGAAAGATAGTGCCTTTGCTTGGACATCTTCGAAGGATCGAGTAGGATATTTCGTCAACTCCCGATATAACTCTCTGAATCCTCCAACAGTCCTTGTCTGAATGCTTCAATTGTCGTCGGCACGTAACACCTGGGGATTGACACCTTCTCCTTGTTGAAGCGATGCAAGTATTCCCGTAAGGATTCATTTCGCCTCTGGACCACCCGATAAAGATCACTGGTTTGCTTCTCCAAGGCTCGACTACTTGCAAACTGTCGATTGAATAAGTTGACCAGCTCTGCAAATGAATTGATGCCTCCATTTGGTAGGTTGACGAACCACGTCAATGCTGGTCCTGACAATGTCGTCCCAAATGCCCTGCACATGCAAGCTTCTCGTTGATCCGGTCTGACTGAGGTGACTAACATTTGCTGCTTGTACTGAGCGACATGTTCCACCGGATCAGAAGTCCCATCGAACAGTCTCATCGAGGGGGGCGGCAAACTTCCTCGGAATCTCGACATCAGTGATACGTCGTCCGAAAGGCGAGTCCGCATAGCACGTTTGTGAGGCAACATCTAGCGGTGGCGGGACTCCAGGTATGTCGTTGATTTTTTCCCGCATCTCCCTCATCTCCTCCATGAGGATGGCCAAAGTGTCGGTCAGGTATGTCTGCATCTGCGGAACTGCCACTTCGGGTGGTGTTGTCGTTTGGGCTGCTCCTCGTTCGGTCGGTGATGGTATGTCGATGATCTCCGGCTCTTGCCGCCTCTGGTTGTTTATGTCGACATGTCTGGGGATGTCGACATGATTTGGAACATGTCGTATCTGGGGCGCTGCAAACAGATTACGGAATACGTTCCTTCTAGGATTTGGGAAAGGAAATGAACCATTCGAGGGCCCGGATTTTCCAGGCATGTCGGCTCCAGAATGAGGGACGAAAGGATGCATGGGAGCCGACGTGGTGGTCGAAGTTGGCATCTGTTGGTTGATTGTGTGCAAACCCGACGCCACCGTTCTGGTCCACAATGAATCCGGGAAGAAGTGCATTGGGATGCTCGTGGTTGGGGTTGAAGCCGGAACTGAATCCATGTCCAATCTTGTTGCCACGGTCATTATATCATTTCCCTGTCGTGAATTGGATACTATGGATGCCACCGATTGTACTTGAGATCGTAGAGCGTCGTTTTCTCGTTGGAGGAGGGTGATCCGCTGCCGCATTTCTTCCTTGACAGCTTCTAGTTGCGCTTGAACCTTCACCGCCGAATGATTAGAATTTCCGGCCATGCGTATTTCTTCCCTGAGAGCTTCTAGTTGTGCTTGAATCTCTGTCATCAAAGAATTAGAACTTCCGGCCATAATTGATTCTCTTTTTGCAAGAATTTCCCACAGACGGCGCCAATTGTTTTAACAAGAAATTTAACTAATCTAAATATGAAATTGATGAGTTGGGAATCAAGCAAAAAGAGATCAATAATACTTTTATTGATCAAGAAATATAGATTAACTAAGTATAATATTGTTGATCGAATAGTAATATAATTGAACACTGTGTATGCTTGTATATATGTTCGTATATGAATGTATGAATATATCCCCTTTACATTGCTTTCTAATCTATTTAATGGGATAAGGCTTCCCCTTCCGCAAGACAAGCCACGTGCACCGAGTTTCTTGCTCTTCTCCAACCACTTTGACTTGCACGTTAGCTTCCTTGGTCTTATCATTCATATTTATTGACTTAAATAATTACAAGTCAGATTAATCCTAAAAGACCTTGGGCTGACTTCCGATTTCAATTAAATCTTTGGCCCAATTGACAAGGTGAACTTTTGGGCCCAACAGAATCGTTGCCGGACTGGTCGCACGCCGGAGGAGAAGAAGCTGAAGTTGCTTCCATCGCACTTGACTAGCTGCTGCCACTGGACTTCGCCGCCTATAACAAACCTATTTCCGCCACTTTGTTGCCGGAAGGAAGAAGAGAGAACGCCGGAGACTGCGATGCTGAAGTTTGAAACGGAACTGAGTTGACCGGACCTCGCTGCTGCATGCCGCTAATTACTGCCACGCCGGAAAAAGAAAAAAAAAACAACCTCTTTGATGGACTGCCCCTTGCCGAGAAAGGGGAGAAGGAGGCATCGTTGCCGACTGCCGCCGGTCGTCTTCAGACTGCTACAGTACGTACTCGTACGTAACTCTCACTCCGTATTATTTTCGTCATTTTGCGCTGAAGGTTATAGCTTGGCCATTGAAATGCTTGGGTCGGATCGTCTAGTTAGCTTAATGGGCTAAGTTCTAAAAGTTATTAATCTTGATATCACAGTATTATAATGAATGATTATATAGATGGACTAATCAATTGAATACGTAAATAAAAGTGATTAATCGGGAAAGAGATAAATTAATACCATGAATTGGATAATAATCAACGGAGAATAATTATTAATTCTATAATTTTAATATTCTTAGAAGGTGAATTTGGAAAAGATCGAGATATAGAAGCTTTGGTTGGGAATTATCGCGATTGAGGTAAGTTCTACATCAACCAAAATTATACTTTTCCTCGTAAATATATATATGATTATTTATTTGAAATTATTTGAGAACTTTGTGAGATTTCTAGCATTTACATTTATACTTCGTATTTGAGTATTTAGAATTATTTATGGATTGTTATTGAGGATTATATTTGAGATTTGAGTATTGAATATTGTGTGATATTTTTGAGTATTTGAAGTTATGTATTAATCATTATTGGGATTGAGATTTGAGCTATTTATGGAGTATTGTATATTTTAATCATGTTGGGAATTTTCGAGTTTAAAGGATCGATTAACCCTTATTTTGGAAATTTATGTCTATGTATAATATGTGATGCATTGTTGAATGTTGAATAACTTTGGGGAAATTACGTGAGTAGTAATCCCTGAATTTTTGGAAAATAATAAAGATAAAATGAACCTTTCAATGTAAGGGCATCACGGGAGAAATCCGGGATGTCGGTGTCCTCCACGACCTTGACTGTGGAGAGTTATTAGGACTGCTATTACTTGTTGGGATTTGGTGTCCACGACCTTGACTGTGGAGATTGGTGGTTGTTTATTGTATTTAAAATTCGGGCAAAAAGACCCTATTATTCAGTAGTAGCAGTAACCTAGTCACTTATATAGGGTAATCCCTTTTTGGTGTAGGGGGACGTTGACGTCCGAACTACTTGGACTTCTTACTACTCGGAGGGCTTGGAATCCCTTTTAGAGGGTGTGCACACTTAAGGTAGAGGTTCAGTTTCCTCAAGTTAGAAGTGGTACCGGCAAAAGTCCCGGGGTGGCCGTACATAACAACGGACCATCGGGCTCAATAAAATGTTGAGCACCGCCCTTCAAATGTATTAGGAGTACAAATTATATTTGATTGGCTTGGATTTGAGTATTTGGATTATTGTATTGAATTCGAGTTGGATTGAATTATCAAATTATTGTGGAATTTCAAAGTAAAATTACTTTTGAGTTTAATTCGGTTTGATTATGCTAATATTGATTATGAGTGTTTGGAAGTATTTTGAGAATAATTTTTTGTACTTTATGTATATTTGGTACTTCGTATTTTGTAATTCTTGTAGTTTGGAAATATTTACTTATATTTGAAGTACTGTTATTTTATTAGTGATGATGTTATTATGAGAAGATTTAACAAATTGTTAAAAAAATATTTTTTCCTCCCCATTGTTTTTTTTTACAAAAATATTAAATTATATTATTTTATGGGGTTAGGTGGAACTTACTTAGCACTGGCTAATTTTTTTTTCTTTTTTTTCTTTCTGTACTTGAATGTGTACAGGTAATGCTTTGCTGATGATGTTGACTTCGAGAAAGCTTCCGCTAGAGAAAATGTAGTTAGTAGATAATATTGTAGTTTAATTTAATTTTGAAGACACTTATTGAGTTTAATTATTTTTGTGGTGCTTAGCCTGTGCACTCGGTTAGGATAGAGCCGAGTGTGGCGGTAACGCCCTTATTTCCCTTTGAAAATTGTGTTGCACATTTCTGATGCTTTTCAAATGAAGATGTTTTTTTTACTCTGAACAAATTATCATTTAAAGTTATATTTTGGGTGGAAATTTGGGGTGTTACACAAAGGGCACAATGTAGTTGCATTATGTAAAGCTAAATTGTGCATTAGGTGAATTTGAAATGTGCACTAGATGAAACAAAAATGTGCAGAATAAAAGGTATGAAACTAAATTTTGTATCTTTTATTATGCACATTTTCAGTTTCACCTAATGCACATGTGAGTTTAAATTTTTATTCTACATATTTCAATATCATCTAATACACATTTCGATTTCACAAAATGCACAATCCAGCTCCACATAATTCAATCCAACGGTCCAGATTCATTCTCATTTCTCTCCTAAGATAGATCCGTTCTTACCGGAACCGCTCCGGAAGGCCGGACAGATTTTGGTCCGAACTTTTACCAAAAGTAAAACGTGGCCAACTTGTAAACGAAGTGGTGGATTGTTATTACTCCACAAACGGAGTATTATTTTAATAGGAGATGTTTTGTAAGTACAATAATGCTCCGTTTGTGATACTTCTGATTTTTGTTGTTAAAACACAAACGTGGACCTAGTCTTGAAATTCATACTCCGGTATTAATGTTATTGAGAGTAAATGTGATGATAAATTATCAACCATTTTAAGAGCTTGTTTGGTAACGATGACTTTTTGCTTTTCAGGTTTATCGGTCAATTTTTCACAAAAAACGTAACTTTTGATTTTCGCGCATAATTCTGTAACAATAAGAAAAAGTAAGATTAAAATTATTTTTTGGCTGTATTGGGCGAAATTACTATGGAGGATCATTGTAGCTATTTTTTCATATAATTTTTTCTTTACTAAATTAATAAAATATATTTTAAATATTTTTTTCGACAAATCAGCAGAAGCAGACAATACAACAACTTCAGCAGTTCAGCTAGAATTTCATAAATTTTAGCATAATCAGCCAATGTAGCCGATTTGGGTGCTATCAAACAGGCCCTTAAAACAAGTCATTCCGAACTAGTCACTAAATCTGTCACTTTTAAGGAAATTTTAAAACAAGTTATATTTTTGTCTTTTGAATTAAATTTAGTATTATTAATGACAGAATGCCAAGTTTTATATCACTGTCATATTTTTTTTACTTAACACTTTTTGTTTAACCATTTCAGCTCAATCAGAATTTTTCCTATAATTAAAAATGTTACATAGTATGTTTTGATGGTTCCATCATGCTAATAGCTTGATCGAATACTAATTAATTAAACCATTGAGTCGGTCTTGTCTCTAAGGAAAAACAAATTTGCATCTGCAAATCTACTACAAATTATCATCAAAGTGCAATGCACTCCTACACTAAACCATGGGTTAATATATTTCCAGTACATGTTCAAACAAAAGTTTAGCGAAAACTTGATATAATCCCTTAACATTTACAAAGTCAAACAAAAGATACACATCCTGCAAATATTTAACAAAAATATGGGATAAGCTCCAACTCAGAAGATTTGCATCTTTCGATTTTCTGCACAAAACAACAACATAGGGTTAATTTAATTAACAAACATAAAAGATACAATATTAAGTAAAATGTTGTCACACATACCCATTTTCTGGCTTAGGACAATTGCGGTTATCATGATCATGCCCTGATGGAGTATATGGCCCAGGAACCCCCGGCCCATAGACTCCTACTTCTCCTACACAAGTCTATTGAGCTCAGGAAACAACTCAGGCCCAAGTACAACGGCCCAAGCATCAAAGTAGCCCAAAATACATACTGGGGTGCCTTCGGCCTCCTTGGCCGAAGGCTCCAAAACTCACAGAATAGCCTTCTCTGGCATAAGAAGCTACTGGGAGAAAACAGCGAAAAACATGAGCCTTCGGCACTATCAAGCCCTCGGCATCGGAGAGGCCTTCGGCTGAACCAAGCCTTCGGTCACACGAGGCCTTCGGCTATGTAGGGGTCCTTGGTTACATGGAGCCCTCGGCTACACAAGGAGCCTTCGGCCAAACACGCTCAGTCATCAAAGATACCTTTTAGAGACAGCCAACCACCGCATTTAAAGCCACGTCACATCCGCCAACCGCATTCAATGCGGTGGACGTACCACTGCCGGTGCCAACCGGCTGATGTGACCCTTCGGCCGTTGGATTACTGACACGTGTCCTCTCATCGCATTTATTGCTGCTATAAATAGCAGCCCATTTCTCCTTGTAAACGATCCCAACTCCACATTTCGAGTTCATTTAATAAGATCGACTCTCTCTCCTCCTATTTACTCTTACTTCTCTCTAAGTTATTCCCGTAATAACCCCTCGGATAAGATACCCCCGGGTAGACTATCCATCATGTCCTTTACAAACACTGCATGTTCTATTGAGTGATGCCGCCTTTTCCATCGATGATTTCAATCGTTTACCACAACCTTTGTGTCTAGCATGATCCGGTTCAACAAACTCTAATGGTTCGGTGGGGTGTTCACGAGTCTTTTTACCACTTTCTTTGGATGTGTTTTTTGAAAGGTGCTCTTTAAATTTCAATCGCCACTCCTTGAGGAGAAGGAGGCCAACTTCCTGATCCTCTAATGACTCGGCTGACAAATCATAATATCCGCTAAGAAAAGCATCAAGTGCTTTCCTATCCCCCCTCCCAGATAAAGCCCTCCTACGATCTTCACGAATTTCAATACCATTTGCATCTTTCACTACTCACGAATTTCAATACCATTTCAATCGCCACTCCCATTCTTATCTTCATGATCTGATGTGTTCTCTGTCTCCCTTTGTCGAGAAAGTGCTCTATCCAACCTAGTAACAAACTCATTAAAGCCACAACCTTTGGACACAAATCACCCCCAAGTTATTGACCTACTATTCCCTAAATATACATATTATTAGTTTCTATATATATATATATATATATATATATATATATATTTGTAAAGACAAAAGTCATCCTGAAATTCATAAGTCAAGACAATGCAAGATGGTCATATAGTGATACCTACATATTTTTCTTTTTCTTTTGTCCCATGTAATTTTTCATTTTTTCTTTGAGTCAAAAACAAATCACCCCCAAGTCAGGATCTTGTGCATCTTTACCCCCATGTCAATTATAAAAAATTGTTCAATACATTGTGTAGAAAATAAACATCATTCAAAAAAAAAATGAAGTTAGAGCTTTTACTATATTTTCGTATATGATTTCTCTGTGTGGCATACTTCCTGTGCGATGAGGCATTTCCATATCTGATGCAGACCTATTCATAGAATTCTGCTTACTGATTTTCTACACAAAGTACAGTATTATAAACTATTAAATTACTTTTTTGGATTGATTTTTCTGTTTAATATAATATTCTACTATATAACTATGTCTCATTTTATGTGTCGTGCTTGGGATTTTTTAAGATTATTTAAAAAGTGTATGTAATAGAGGTTAATGCAGAACACAGAAAAAATAGATTATTTGAAGATGATGATTGATTGACTTAAACGAATTTTGAGATTATTAAAAAATTAATTGTATAATAATATTTAAATGGTAAGAATCATAAAAACAACTGATTATTAGAGATCATGAATGGAGATGCTCTTATACATTAATCACTTAACTCCTATAAAATAATTAATATGGTTTCACATTACCATAAAAAAATCGCATAGTTAAACCTATGTACTATATACTGACTAAGAATACCAATCACCACTTGATCGTGATTATATGATAATATCTGATAACATTACCATGGGCCGGTTTGGTACCTGTTTTTCGTCTTATCAGCCTACCTTTTTCACCAAAAGCGTAACTTTTGATTTCACGTGTTACATTTTGTAATAATAAGGAAAAATAAGGTTGAATTTATTTTTCTGGTCGTATTGGTTGAAGTTAGTGTAGAAGATTATTTTTATTATTTTTTACATACTACATATAATTGTTCCATTATTTTACTAATAAAATAGTTTTTTTTTCTTCTTCATAAATTAACATAATCAACCAATTCAGCCACTTCAGCGAGAACTTCATAAATTTCAGCAGAATCAGCCGATTTGGGAATTACCAAACGGGCTCTATATAATTACCACTTCAACCCTAATTTCAAAGTGATTAAGCATTCAAATATCATCAACAAGTTATTTAGAATTCGAATATAAAAGGAAATGTTGATATTAAACCTATTGACTATTGGTAACATCAAAGGTAGATGCATGATACTATTGTACGGTTATGTTATTATTTTTATTTTACAGACTATTAATATGGTTTAATATTAATATTAAAAGTAATTATTCTAAATGGGACTAAAACATAGTCAAAACTCCAAAATAGGACCTTAACTTTATTATTTTCTAAATGGGACTCCAGATTACGTACTTACCCCTGCATCATTAAATCTACCCAGCTCCTTCCTCCACCTGCGATTAAAATCTTCTTCGCCTCTGCTGCAGCTCCTCCGCCAACAATTGCAGCCGCAATCCCGCCGACGCCAGCTAAGACAGGTAATCTTCTCCAGCTTCTTCTTTGTTCTTCCTCCTCCTCTCTTCTTCTTCTTCCTCCCCCCCCCCCCCCCCTCCTTCAAATCTTCTTCATTCTTCTTCATTCTTCTTCTCATCCTCTTCCTAAATTCCTAGTGCTCTGTTTTTTTCTTTAGTTATCTTGATTTATGTTAATTTTTTGTTTACTTTTTTGGTTAAATAGAAAACCGATTTCTGATTTGTGAACATTTAGATGAAAAATTAGGTTGCAATGCTCCATCCATTGTGGATTTCAGTTTTATTTATTTATTTACCAATTTTGATTCATTATGAATGTGACAAAATTAATAGTACTTAATAAGAAAAATGTCACTTTTATGGTATTACATTTTTAAAGATGACAATGTTGCTTTGAAATTACAAAAATGTCATGTTTTTGCCAGTTTCACATAAATGTCACATTTTGAATCACAAAATGTCATATGACATTTCCAAATAGTGTAATGTCATAAAAGTGACATTTTTAAAAAATAACCAATAATGACACAATAATGTCAATTCCGTATAGAAACATGACACTCAATATGACATTT